TTAAAGTGTTGACGGAATAGCAGATGTACCATTATTTCTATTTGTGGTGTACACTTGTCAGTGAAAGCACATATTAACAAATGGTGCAAAGGCAGGACCCGCTATTAGTCTGGCAAACTTAATCAGCAGCTTGATATCAATGGCCAACCTATGTCTGGCTTCCAGCTTCCTCTGTTTGGTTTCCAGGTTCTTCCCTCTATTTATTTAAATGCTATGTTGCTCTTTCTTTCATTCACTGAAATTTCGTTCAATTTCAATTGTTTCCTTCAGCAATCAACCAAATTTGTTTCTATAAATATTATTCTTTGAAATCATCAACCTTTCAGCTTCTATTTTACGATACAATTCACAATTTATATTGCACCTTTCACATCAGGAGAATGTCTCAAAGTGCTTAATATTGTTAATTTTTTTTTTGTTTTTAGAGATTGCTCTATAGAATAGAGCCTTGTTCCCTATATTCCATAAATTCAGATCGTATCAATGTTGATGACTGAAATGGTGCTTAATAAAGAGGTGTTGATCAAGAATGGGCCCAGACTCAAGTCCATTCAGTTCCTTATCTGATCTTCATTGAGGTGGAAGGCACTGAGTGGTAGTTGCAACACATGTTGGAGACTTGGGAGAAGTAAGTCACAACTGCTGCCTCCTGCACCTATTTAGTTACACAGGGAGTTAGCACCACCCTTGTAAATGAAATATACTGAATCAAAATTAAAAAAGGAGAATTTACCAATTTACCTATAGAACAAAATCCAACAAAGCTGGAGCACGTTGATGGTATTCCTGTTGAATAAATGATTTGTTGGGCTATCAAGATCCTGAAAGATTATTCAAACATAGAGCCTTGTGTTGCTGCTGCTGGCATGGAAGAGCTACAGCTGCTTTAACATGTTGAAAGGGACACTGTGAAGAAGTATGAAACGCTGTTGAATATGTGCAAGGAAGATTGCTGTGTGAGACGCAGAGAAAGTCCATTCGGAATATCCTTTCCGCACATGCATTATAGTTTCAATAAAGGATGCAAATCACATGTTCATAAATTTCCATGGTGTTTCAAAGCACTTGCCTGATGCTAAAAAAAACTAGTTTCAAGCACTGTTCAAACATTCATTGGACCGTGTGATTCATTACATAACTTCAGCAGTCAACAGATAAGGGGCTAAAGTACTGTTATTTGCATTTTAAAAAACATAACTGAGAGAGAATAGAAATGTGCCACGTAATACAGTGCAAAAGCTTTCAGGTTATATGGAGGGAGAAAACTCAGCAAGAAATATTTAAAAAGTGGAGAAATTACAAGTTATAATGAATTTAGTCAAAATATTAATTCAGTCAAAATATTAATTCATTGAAGTTTGTGAAAATAAACTAATAAATATACCAATCAGAGTTTAGTTTCATATCTTTGAATGCACGAATTGTGCAACATCAAAATGTACCCAGAATATGCTAAAGGTTAGACAAGTAACTAAAATTTGAAGGCCCTGGCAAATCTCAAAGATTGTTTTGTTTTCTAAAAATATGGTTCGATTACTCATGATAACATTTAGGATTATTTTATTAGCTGGGCTCCACCCACACATGCACCAACATGCATCTCTTGTGCAAGTACCTTTGTGCTGAAAAGCCCAGAGTGTTGAAATAATGCATTAAAATCAGCAACATATTTTTTTAATAAAGTCATAGAACCATGGAAATGGAAAGCACAGAAGTTGGCTGTGAGCCCATTATGTCTGCTTTGCCGCTCTGAAAAAGCTATTGCTTAGTTCCATTCTCCTACTTTCTACAAATTCCTTCTGATAGTTCTCGTTTTCATATATTTATCCGATTCCTCTTAATTGATAATATTACCTTTAATAAACAGCAAGATTATACGTTTTACAGGGAACTTGGTGGCACCATGGTTGAGACGTCAGCTTTGTATTCAGTTCTGACAAAAGGTCATTTACCTGAAACATGAATTCATTTTCCTCTCTCCATGAATGCTGCCTGATCTGCTGTGTGTTCCCAGTGACTTCTGTGTTTATGTCAGCTTTTAATTGTTGGCTGTGGTAATTTTTCGTACTGTATAGAGAAGAAGATTCATACAGTGAACAAACAATAGACCTAAGTGTCTGTAGTTTGTCTATGGTGTGAATTCAATGTCGGGAGAAGAGGGTTCTGGAGCTGTTATACTGCTGTTATATTGCTAGCTTCAAATCACTCACTTGGAGTCGAGTCCAAGTTAAAAGAAAACTTTGTTCAGGCAAATGTGTGCAAGAGTCTTTAAACTGGCACCAAATGGCAATTAATTGTAAAGTCTAAAGTATTGGGCATGGGTGACCATCTCTTTGACAACATAAAAAGACTTGCATTGAATCAACACAAACCAAGTATTAGAAGTGCATTATGACTCATATTGTGAGGTGTGCCTGGGAGTGCCTGAAGCTCAAGTAAAGTCTTCTATTTTCTAGAATTGACATACTTCACTTGGAAGAACACAACTTTAATTGACAATAAAGTACTTGAAACTATTCAGGATTGTAGCAGTCCAGCATTATTCCACTTAGGAGTATCACTCATCAAAACTTTTTAAACTTTGCCAGGTTGAAATGACTGTAGTGCAGGGAACTCCCTTTTCTAACTGCAGTTCATTAAATGATTCCATAGTTCACACTTGCTCTTTAATCATTTAACAATTAAGCAATAATCCTTGAATTTGATGTGGCTCCTTTCATGTCAGGAGCCTGTCTCGAGGGAGCTTCACAGGATTTCCTATAAAATGTGTAGTGACTCTATGATTTTTTAGTCATGATAATAGCAAACAGTTTTCAAAATCTGCTTTTAGGGTATGCAAAGAAAGTGCAGTGTGTAAAGGTCTAGCCAAAGCAAAACCAGTAGTACATAGTGTGAAACAGAAGGTCATCTTGGAAACTGTACATTTTGATTGCAAAAGTTTTGAAGTGTGATCTTGCAACATCAATAAGACCTCAGACATCCGGAATGCATCTTAATCATGGATGTAGTTGTTATTACTGATACCAGTATGAAATGCACAATGATAATGGTACCTCCCTAAAACCTTACCAAGCCACATGTTCCCTCTCCTCAGTATGCATTGATCTGCCTGCCCCAGCATCAGCTGTTAGGCCTTCAGTCTTTCAGCCCCACTCTCTGGAACTCCATCCCAGAGTCCCTTCACTTTGCTCTTTCCCTCACCTCCTTCAAGGTCCAGCCTTCCTCTTTGACTGCGCCTTCGGTCATCTTCCCACCCCTTTGACCCCCACCCCTCTCAAATCTACCCCCAGTTCAGGTGCAGCAACTTAAAGGGTGTGAAATGCACTGTATAAATGCAATTTATTGTTGTTGTAATTGGATCTGCTGACTCCCCACTTACAAACATTCAGGTACATTCACATATCAGGCAGAGCGAGGCAACAACTTGGATTTATATAGCGCCCTCCACGCCAGACGGCGTCTCACAACGCTTCACGGTAACGGATCCCGGGGTCGAGCCAGGGGAGGGGGAGGAAGGTGACCAAAGGCGCAGTTGAAAAGGTCTTCAGCCGAGACCTGAAAATGGGGAGGGGGCGAGGGGAAGGGAGTAGGGATACCATCACAACGTTTCTAAGTTACAAGATGAAAAATTACATTGCTCATAGATTAGGGAATATTCACATTTTGGACAAACATGACCAACAGTCCAAAAATCTTGCCAACCTGTTTGTTTTTTCCCTCCAATGTATTCAATTAGATCAGTTATTCGCAATGTACTGTTTTAAAGATAAATGCATCGACAGATGCCTGGTGCCTGGAAACACCGCAAAATTGTCAGTAAACTCCATCACCGCAGTGCGTTCCAAGATGCTATCTTGCGGGAACAGCAAGTTATCATTGCTTCCTCTCCTTCCTCTTATCTTTTCTGCTTCCTCTTTCTCTTCCTCTCTGTTGTGCTTAGTTTTTCCTTATTTCTCCCTTTCACTCTCACCCCTCCACCCCCATCCCCCATCTCTCTTTCCCCCCTATCCCCTCTCTCTCTCTCTTCATTCACCCTACCCCACCCCTATGGTACTATTGGGTCCGTTGCCTGTCTTCAGACTGATAGCAGCCACTCCCTTTGCACTGCTGGTTTGCCTGTATTGAGTCTTGACAGCCAGGTAGGGCAAGGCAAGGCAAGGCAGGGCAAGGCAGGGCAGGGCAAGGCAAGGCAAGGCAAGGCAGGGCAGCGCAAGGCAAGGCAAGGCAGGGCAGGGCAAGGCAGGGCAAGGCAGAGCAGGGCAGGGCAAGGCAGGGTAAGGCAAGGCAGGGTAAGGCAGGGCAAGGCAAGGCCGGGCAAGGCAGGGCAGGGCAAGGCAGGGTAAGGCAGGGCATGGCAGGGTAAGGCAGGGCAGGGCAAGGCCGGGCAAGGCAAGGCAGGGTAAGGCAGGGCAGGGCAAGGCAGGGTAAGGCAGGGCAAGGCAGGGTAAGGCAGGGCAAGGCAGGGTAAGGCAGGGCAGGGCAAGGTAGGGCAGGGCAAGGCAGCCCTCCCTACTCCCTCAAAGGCGAGGAAACCACCACCACCACCACCGACACAAGAGACCTGAGTGGGTGGGGGGCGGGGAAACGTGTCGAGACGTCGACGGTCCCGCCCTCCTCGGCGTCGGATTTGCATAAACATGTGGATTGACGGGGGGTGTGAGCCAATGGGAGGGAGCGGGGGGCGGGGCCGGCGCGGGAGAGGACAATGTGCAGAGAGATACAGTGTAGCGATGGAGCGAACCCGAGTTCCACTGAGACGCACATTGTTACAGTGACGCTGTGGGCGAACAGCTGAGACAGGACAGGACCGGACAGGGCTTCCCTTCCCCCTCTCGTCACTCCTCTCTATGTATGTGGGTCGTTTCTTTGGGGGGAAACAAAAAGACAATTGTCAATTGTCTCTCTCTTCTCCCCCCACTCTCCTCCTCCTCCTCCACCTCCATCTCCATCTCCTCCTCCTCCACCACCACCACCTTCTTCTTCTTCTTCTTCTTCTCTCCCCTCAAGTGAAGTGTTTGAGGGCTGAGAAAGATGTCGGTCGCCGGTTTGAAGAAGCAGTTTCATAAAGCCAGTCAGGTAGGAAACGGCCGCCTGCTGCCCTGTCAGTTGCCCCCCCCCCCCCCCCCCCCGATCCGCTTGGCTTGTCTATGTCTGTGTGTGTGTGTGTGTGTGTCTGTCTGTGTGTGTGTGTGTCTGTGTCTGTGTGTGTTGTATGTTTGGTGTGATTTTGGGAGGAGGGGGGAGTTGGCCAGACGGATGTTTCACGTTATCATGGCATCCACAGGTCACAGATCCTGTTGTTGGTACACATTGATGGATGGAGGACAAGGTGGGGGGTGGGGTGGGGTGGGGGGGCGGATGTGTTGCTACGCCCTCCGCTGGGTTCTGCATAATTGCAGTAGCACTAAGTGTACATTCATACTGTCTATATTAGTCTAATCCCAACTCAGATTAGTTTTGCAGTTGAGGACTGATCCCAGGTGACATTTCATATGCTCCTACTTTCTTCCTGTCTTGTCTGCCTCTGTTGTTTCTGTTTCAATTCAAAGTAAATGAATGAATGGAAGAAGTTGTCCAAAGTGGATGTAATCTGTGTGAGGCAGCCTTGGGGGTGGGGCGGGGGCTTAAGGCGTTAGCGCCCGGCCTTCTCTGGTTGCTCTCCGTTTCTTTCAGGCTTTCAGAAGCACACAACACACTGCATTGCAGCCCATCAGCTCCATCGGAATTCATCCACAAGGATCAAACATTAACCACAAAACCATTAACTTCAAATTGGTGGCTTAGTTGACCATTCGCGTGGCGTTAAATAGACATTTCCAATAGTTATACACAAGAGCTATGGAACTACTAAATCTAGGATGTCGATAATTGATCGCGAGAGAGTTAGTAAAGTGTGGTTTTTGGTGTAAAATCCTACTCATTAATAGATGTCCAGCTTCCCAGCAGTCGCCAGGTTTCATTTTTGTTAACACGTGAAAATAAATGGATTTAGGAGCTGGAATGCATAAGGTAACCGAGTGCAGAACCTTACTGGAAATTGGGAGAATGATTTTTGTTCTGGAACCTGCGTGGACAGGACAGTACAGGCAGGACCAGGGCAAAGGTGCTAACGTTGCGCTTCCTTGTTTTTACGGGGAGATGTTATGGGCGTGTTCGCTTGCGAAAGGAAACACTTCAGCTAAACAGGTTGCAACATAAACCACAACTGCCAAATGGTACGTTATGCCGATTGGTCTTCACTTCGCTTTTGATCGGGAACATTTGCTGCAATTGAAAACAAACCAGAAAATAATTCATCTCAATGAAGCGTTATTTTTTTTTTCTCGTTGGTATTTTGATGACTTTAGGGTTTGGATCTAAATTCAAGCTTCTCTGACAGCGCAGAGGAAATAATATCCTGGGGTACGGTATATAGTTTGGGGGGTGGGGGCATGACATGTGCCTGTGACTGCCTCGAAAGCGAACTCGATAGAGCTTGCTCTTCTTTCGCTTAGCAATTCTTATTTTCTTATATGCATGACTGAAGCTGTTATAACAACAACAACTTGGATTTATATAGTGCCCTCCATGCCAGACGGCATCTCAGAGCGCTTTATAATGTATAGCAGGGCAATACTACAAGGAGTAAGGTGTTGTGTGTGATAATGAAATTCACCCATGTATTTATTATTCTTGTCAGAAGCCAAATATACTAGGATTGTTTAAGCTGTGTGTTTATTTACAAGTTTGAGCTGGTGCGGTGTTTGTTTTGAGAAGAATCAAGGTGGTTGGCATTTGACATACCACTGTTTAATATGCACTGTAATCAGTGGCGGACTGGCTCCCCAAAAGGGCTCGGGATGCCGATGTAAGATCAGTTAAAAGGAGGGCAATTTGTGTGTGTGGGAGTTGGGGAGGGAGGCAAAATTGGAAGTTCTGAACTTGGCTGCACGGGTTGGTAACCATCAGGAGCCACTCACAGCGTGTTTGGGAAATTTCCTGATTTCCCATATACCCGGTCCCCCCGACTATAATACTTACCCCATCCCAGACAAATAATACATTGGAGTGCACACTCCTTCAAGTTGACGTTTTGGCCTTAATCAATGTCATAAAGCCCCCTGTCCATGAAAACCTAGTAAGTGGCACCTCAAATGTCAAGGTGGTTGGCATGTCGCAAGCTGTCCTGTATAGGTTCTTCCTTCAAACTGAAGGCAGATGTCTATTGAACAACTTGCAGGAAAACTTTGAAGCTTGCGACAACAGCTGCTAGAAAGCATTACCTGGTTCATTAACTTGCACCCAGATATCCAGCGGTTGAGGCCTAACTTGATTGGTAAGTAAATAGGAAAGCAGCTGTACTTCTGCAACTGATGCAAGCCATGCTCAGTGGTGCGCAAGATGTGTGTACTCTCCAACTAACCTATTCCACAAGTTACTTGAACAAACTCAGCTTCTCCATAACTTAGATTCCTGGAAGTAACGTGGTTGCTAACCCGTGTACAGTACTCTCAAATGGCAGATAACGATGATGTGATCTGAATGACACACAATGTTCTAGATAGGCCTGACCAATTGCCTTGCATAGCAACAATATAATCTCTTCTGACTTGTGTTACATCCATCTGCAAAAGTGACCATAGTTTGAAATTCTGGTTGGTATTGGGTGAAGCATTTTTGGTCATGCGCAGTTATGATGATGAAATGCCATAAGCAGCTGGCATTGCTACACATTACGTTGACTGAAATTGCTGTTCACTGGTGCCTTATTTGGCTTTTTTTGTTACTGCAGCCAAGTATCAGGATAATGGTTTCATAGATTTGTCCACAATCATTTTTGTGATGGGAATACTAGAACCATTCCATTCAGTACATAACTGCGTTATTTGGTTCCTTGCTCCCACACTCATTTGATTATAAATTACTTTCCTTAGTAAATATCTTGCATATGATGCATACAGTTAATCAGGCTACTTTTAAAACCTTTGGAAACTGCAAATTTGGGGAGACTATTTGCAGGCAACCAGACACATGTTAATTTTATGTGGGCACATCTCCTTTGCTGTCAGTGTATATCTTACAGTCAATGATTGCAGCCTTTCTCCCCGCTGAAACATTGCTCAGCATTTTACACACTGACCTGCCTCCTGTTTTCTGACTCTGCAACTTTATGGCAGCTCCACCCTCACTAATGTTCAATTCAACAAAACAAAATTTGGAAATGTTTGCAATGGTCATTCATGTAACAAAATAGTTTTAACTTTCTTTAACCTTTTTTTCATCAATTGTGCAAATGAGCTGTTTTGCCACCCCTTTCTCACACTGCTGAATGAAGATTTTTAATGAATTCATAGAATAGTTTCAAAGCCATGTGATAATGCACTTACGCTGGGTGCCTGAAATGTTATTATACTGGTGTGAATTATCCCATAATGGTCAGGCCCACATAACACATTCCGGAATTTTGTTTTCACATGTACTTGTTGCAATGCTTTTATAATTTGTACACTGAAAATAACGTCACAAAAATACTTTTTTCAGTTGACAGGAATGATTCTGCCTCTGTGTAAGCATCATGAATACTCTTATCACAATGAAAGTTGCCCCAGATGTCTGTGAGGATCACAAGATTGGTTTGGATGATGAAGCCCCTTCAGCCCATTTTATCTCATCCATGCTGTTTCTTGTTGTCCCCTGGGATATATGTAAGAGAAGCTTCATATGACTGGCCCTCCAAATCCCCTCCTTCTGCCGCTTCCCTTACCCACCCAGTTGGGAAGCATCACACATCTCAGTGCCTTCTCTTGATCTGCTCAGCGTGAAGCATTGAGGTCACGAGCGTTTAACTATTCACTGACTGAATATGCTGGAATATTCAGTCACCAAACCACTGCACTGAACTAATGGTGCAATTTCTGATTCCATTCATCATGTTGAAAATGGGCAGACCCTATACAAGTGATAAATGAGCTGCTATCGCTCTTCTTTTCCAAAACGAATGCTTTAACATGGTTATATCGGAAATAATTATCCATTGCCCTAAATGTTTACTGCTTTATTATCATGTTGGTGATAAACAGCTGCAACGGGTGAAATACTAGCACATAAGTTTGCTATTCAAACTGTATTGTAAATACCTTGTATATATATGGAATACTATTGCAATGCCAAAACATTTGTTTACTTCAACTATGAGCTCCGCCATCAATATAAGGAGTTTGATAGTATTAACTGTAAGTAAGTAGTTTGTGCAATAGAAAATTATTTATTTAGTGGAGGAAACCATTCACCCATTTTGCTGGTGCCAAGTTAGCTTCCCACTGGAAAGTGCACAGTCATAGATTTTAATTTCCTACGTTCTGATCTGAAAGAGGTGATGTCACTTGAAAGCTCTGTTATAATTTTTATTTTGTGATAGGATAGAATACAATAAATAATTCTTGCATTTGCTGTCGTGACTTTCACAGCGCAGTCTCGCAAAGTGCTTCACAGGATTTACTGTAAAGTCTAGTGACTCTGTATTTTGTAGGTCAGAGCCTCCAAACAATAACAACAACAGCTTGCATTTGTATAGGACCATTCATGTAGGATAATGTCTCAGTGCTGTACAATGGCACGGTTGGATGCTGAGTAAAGGAAAAGTGGGAGGGGAAGGTGACCATAGGCGCAGTCGAAGAGGTAGGTTTTCAGGTGGGATTTAAAGATGGATAAAGAGGGGGAGAGATGAGGTCATCGAAACAGAGTTCCAAAGATTAAGGACATAATGTCTGATGGCTCGGCCACTGATGGTCAGGGGATGCGCAGCAGGCCTGTATTGGCTTAGGAAACAGGAAGGGCCAGAGGGGTGGAGCACGAGCAGGTTGGGGAAGTTGATAGGGCAAATCTCTAAAAACATCTTCCCTCTACCCCTCTTTTTGTCTTTAAGTCCCACGTAAGATTCTGAGTCTATAACTGTTTCTTCTTCTTTCCCCTGTCCCTTGCTTCCCACACTTCCCACAGTTATAGTTTTAAAAGAGTTAGCTCCAGGGTTATGGGGAAAGGGCAGGTAAATGGGGCTGATAGGTTAGCTCTTGAGGGAGCCGGCACGGAAAGGATGG